GGATCCCGGGGGTGGCGATGAAGATATCGACGCCATTCTCCAAGAGCTGAAGATCACCCCCGCAGAGGGAGCCGCGGCGCGCGGCGCTGCCACGGCGCGCGGCAGCGGCGGCGCGCAGCCGGCGTCTGCTGCGCTGTTGGGGGTCGACGTGCGGCGGCTCAGGGGGGAGGATGAGCTGCGGCGGATCTTCGGGGCGGGCGTGATAGAGGCGGTGGACAGGCAGGATGCCGCAGAGTCCGGGTGCGCGCGTGGGTTTGAGAGGCACGAACTTCGGGGCAGTTGATGGTCGGCGGTTTGTAGTTTGTGTTTGAGATTTGCAGACGAGGGCCGCCTGTCGGTCAGACGCATGGGGTTGGCATGCATGCGAGCGCTGCTGCGCGTGTTTGCTTCTGCTTCGGTGTCATCAGGGTTGCAGCGCGTCGGCCCCCCTGACCCTGGCCGCACCGCTGCCGCCGCCTAACCGCCCGGCCCCTCCTCGCCCCCGCAGCAGCGGCCGCGGCGGCGGCGCCGCGCGCCGCTACGGCTGGGCGCCGCGCAACGCGCCGCGGCGGCGGCCGATGAAGCGGGGCATGCTGATGGCGCCGCGGGACGACTGGTGAGAGCCTTAGGGGTCGGCGCTGCTCGGCATGCAGGGAAGGCGTCAAAGGCAGGCTGGGTAGCTTCTTGGCAGCCGAGCCGTGGCGCCATGCCCCCGTCAAATCGGGTTACTAAGCATGACGTCATCATGCTGCGTGGCCCGGCATGCATCTCACCTGCGCCTGTCAACCCCCTGGCCCATCGGCAGCCTGGAACCAGCACTCCTGCTTGTTCATGACAGCAGCACCGTCTTTGTTCACACCAGAACCCTCTTCATACACATCCACCCCCCCTCCCGTGTTCACATCCCCCCCCACACACCACCCAGGCCATACTATGAGCCGGGCACACTTCTGATGGAAGCCGCGGGGACGGCCGCGGACGGCACGCCCATGTTCCGGTGCGCTTGCCGATTGCGGGGAAGGGTCTGCGTGTGGAAGGGGTCCAGCCCTGTCCCCTTCAGACTGTCAGGGCATTGGCACGCTGCTTTTGACAGGCGCTACAATTCATCGACGCTATTGTTTACTATGCTATCTTTGACCGACGCTAGTTTTGACCGACGCAACGTTTGACCGGCGCGCCACCATTACGCAGGTACGTCTGGCCCGGGCCGTACCGCGGGGCCCAGGCGCTGTTTGAGCAGGCGCAGGGCAGCTACGACCCCAACGCGGTGGCCGCCGTCCTCCACCAGGTGTGACGTCATCCCCCCCCCCCCCCTAGTGCGATGCTTGCCCTTTGGCTGCACTGCTGGCGCCCGCGCCCGCACCCAGCTCGGCTGCGGGGACCAGCGTGATGCATGAGTATGCGGGACAGATCGGAAAGCCAGTGGTTTATGAGTGCGGAGCAACCCCCTGTTTTGCGGTGACGTCAGCAGGGCACTGCAGCCGCCCGGTCAAGCACACCGCCCGGAGAGGTGCCCCGCCCGCCGCTTGCCGTGCTCCGCTGTACTGCCAGCCGCCATCCACTGCCAATCACCGTCCTGCTCGTGCCGCCGACTTCGCTTGTACCGCCGCCTCAGTCATACCCCCCCCATCGGCCCGCCCTGTGCGCCCCCGTAGTGCCCGTACCACGTTGACTCGCTGCTAGCCATGTCTGACCTGTACCGCGCCATGGGGGAGGGGCAGTACGCAGAGGAGAGCCTGAACAGGTCAGGGCAGTGTGTTTGCATGAAGTTGTGTGCAAGTGTGTGTGTGTGTGACGCAAATGTATAAGTGGGCTTGGTGTTTGTGAGGAGCAATGGGGGTTGTGCGGCGCGGGCACATGCGGAATCCCTCTCTTGGGCCCATCGTTGTCCAGCGTCGCTCAAGGCTCCCGCCCCACAGGCTGCTGACGTCAGGCTGACGTCATGCTGACGTCACGGCCCCGACCCCCGCCGGACCCCCGCGCCACCCGCCCAGGGCGCTGTACGCGCTAGAGGCCGCGTGGAGCCCTGCGTTCGACCCTGCTGCCGCGCGCTGCCGCCTGGACATCGAGGTCCCCGAGAACAGGGCGCTCTTCGTGGCGCTGTTCAGGCACGCGCAGGTGGGGCGGCGCCGGTTGGAAATGACTCACGATATTGCGATGAGTGCTTCATGCCCTGTTCTGGGGGGCGCTGTTTATGGCGCTGTTCAGGCACGCGCAAAGGGCGGCGCCGATTTTCGGTTGTTTTTGCAGTGGATATTTGTCAAAATCAAGGAATGTGGCGGGGAGGTGTGGCCGGGCGAGGGTCAACGGCTGGGAGAGAGGGGAGGACGAGAGCGTGAAAATGACATGTACAGGGGCCCTGCTGTCGGACAAAGGATTGTGGCGCCGCCCTGCCGCGTCTGGGGGGCAGGAGCGAGGGGCCGAGTGGCGTTTGTGCGAGCAAGCGGCGCAGGGGGGCGGCTGGCAGCTGCGGGGCTTTGGGGTGCATTACATATGCCTGGCCACAACCAGGCTGCTGGGTGGCCCCTTCAAGCACGTGCACTGTCGCGCTCGCACGCACATGCTCCTGCACACCCTGGGCTCCAGCCCACCCTGCCTCACATCAACCAGGCTCGTCAGAAGTCGCCGCCCTCTCACACCCCCCCTCCTCGTCCTGTCCCCCGCAGGCCCTCAGCCGCCGCGGCTGCCACTCGTCCGCGCTTGAGGTGGCGAAGCTGCTGCTGGCGCTGGACCCGGGGGACCCCCTGGGGGCGCTGCAGCTGGTGGACTACCTGGCGCTGAGGGCGGGACGGTGGGTGGCGGGGTGCAGACTCAGCGCGTGACGTCTGTGTGGCTCGGCGGCTGGTTGAAGCGGAGCGGGGCGAGGCGGGGATAGCGTTACTGTTAACCTGCCTGGCAAGCCTTGGTGCCTGGGCTCCTGGTTCCATGGCCCCTTCCTCACCCACATGTGAGGCCTTGCGGCCCGCCCCCTCCACGCCCCCCTCCCCTGTTCCAGCCCCCCCCTCCCTGCCCATACTCCTGGCCCTCCTTTCGGCCCCACCTCTCCTGAAAGACCGACCGCACCTCCTGAACCACTCCCTGAAAACTTGCCCCGTGCAGCTACGGCTGGCTGGAGCGGCTAGTGCAGGGCTTCGACGGCGGCGCCGCCCTGGCCCTCCTCCCAAACTTCGCCTACTCTCTGGCCCTCGCGCGCTACTGGAAGGAGCAGCGCGCCGCGGGCCCCAGCGGCAGCGGCAGCGGCAGCAGCGGCCCGTCCAAAGGGGACAAGGGGGACAGAGGCTCGCAGGCGGCGGTTGCTGACGAGGACGAGGGCTCCGCTGGGCCGCAGCCGAGCAGCCACGAGACGCTGGTTTCGGCGATGCTGCTGCACCCGCTGGTCGTGCCGCAGCTGATGGGCCGGCTGCAGGGGCAGGGCGTTGGGAAAGACAGCTGGTGGGGGGCGCTGCTGCAGCGGCGACTGTTCCAGGGGGCGGGGGACGGCGGCAGCGCGTCGCTGGCGCACCTGGTGTCTATATTCGTGGAGCGCAGCCACCTGCTGTGGAAGTCGGCGGACGTTCAGGTGCGTGTGTGTAGGTGTGTAGGCGTGTGTGTGTGTGTTTTGTGTGTGTGTGTGTGTGTGCGTGCGTGGGTGCGTGTGTTTGTATGCATTACGTGCTTGCTTCTGGACCCGTCTGGTTTTTGGGGGTGCAGCCTGGGTGTGGGCCTCTGTGTGATTGTTTGTGTGTGTGTGTGTGTGTGTGTGTGTGTGTGTGTGTGTGTGCGTCTTTGTGTTCTTGTGTGTGCTTTTGTCTTTGTGTGTATGTGCGCGCGCGTGCGCGTGTCCATGTGCATGTCCATGTGCGTGTCCATGTGCCTACGTGCATGCATGCGTTTGTGCATGCATGCGTGCTGTTCAGTTTCTGTGCGCTGCTTCGGCCCTCCTTTATGTGGCCTCCATCGTAACATATTCTCCAGCAGAAAATTAGCGACGCAATCGCACCCAACCGCAACCTGACACCCCTCTCCCCCCCAGGCTTGGATGCGCCGCGCCGCCGACGCCGCCGCAGACGCAGCCGATGGAAAGGCCGCCGCCGCCCCCGCGCCCGCGGCCCCCGGCGCCGTGGCTCCTGCGCCGGCGCAGGCGGCGCCGCCCCTAAGCGCCGACGACTGGGCCGCGGTGGCGCGAGAGAGCTTCCCGGCCACAGGGGATAACGAGTTCAGGCACCTGCGGCTGGCGGACTTCAGCGACGCGGTCAATGCGCTGCCCAGGGAGGAGGTGGCGGCCGCGATGGAGGCTGGCGGCGGCGCCGGCGGGCTGCAGGTGGGAGGCGTGGGAGGGGGCCGCGGCCTGCGTGCTCTTATGGGCCCGGCGCGGCGTGGAACCGGGCGGCGGGGCGGTGCAGGGCCTCTCACCGCCGGCGGCTCAGCGGCGCCCGCGCCCGAAGCGCCGCGCGCCTGCCCGTCGGCTGCGGCTGGTGCTGGGCGTATTGCAGGGGGGCCTGCTCTGGTGTAGAGGCAGCGCTATCGTAAGACGATCCCCTCGTACTGCATTGAGCGATAATATCGCATTGAGCATTTGCCAATTGGTGAGTAAAGGCCATTCTGCCAATAACCTAATTGGCTAAAACCTGAATCCCATCAACCGCAGGACGTGATGGATGAGGCGGTGATGGCCCAGATCCAGGAGGCCATGCTCGCCGCCCAGCAGCAGCAGGAGCAGCAGCAGCAGCAGCAAGGCGGCCCGGGGCAGCAGCAGCAGCAGCGCTTGAGCGAGGCGGAGCTGCAGGGGGCGAACCCCCTGATGATGCTGCTGCGCTCGCTGCTGCCCTGGGTGGACGCGGGGCAGGCGCCAGAGTACGGGGCGGACGACGAGGGTGGCGGCGGCGGCGGGCAGCGGCAGGGCGGCGGCGGCGGCGGAGGGGCGCCGCAGTGAGCTCGGGGTTCGAGGCGCTGTCGGGTGCGGCTGCGTGAGCCCAGTGTAATGCCTTCTGGCAGGTGTTGGGGTTTGGAGGGGCCAGGGTATTCCTCTGTGCTGCAAGTCCAGCACAGCTGTATACGCAAGCTGGCAGCTGCATGCCGTTGGGACTGAGAAGCATCAATGCACTTGGCTTTGAAGGGAATGGCTCACAGGGCGGTGGTGCTGGGCATGGGATCACCCCTGAAGCGACCCACCACGCCCGCGGGCCCCAGCCGGTGGCGCACAGCTGCCGGGCTTGGGTGCCAGGGTGGAGGGGCGGGAGCAGCAAGCGCGGTCGGGCCGGCGCCCGCGGGGCGAGCGGCAGTTACAGGACGCCTGCGCCGCCGGGAACGGGGATTCTGAAAGTGTGCACAGGGGCGCGCGCCTTGCTGCCGGTCAATCATGCTGCGCTGATCGCGCTGACAAACATCGCGAGTCCGCGTGATGGGCGCGTGCGCCGTGGTGCGGGTCGCCTCTGGCTGGCAGGCATGAACGGACGGTCGACGACTTCAAGATGAACAGTTTGAATTTGCCTCAGTCATAACCTAGAAAAATGTGCAATGCATCCTGCTTGTTTAAGCACGACGCACGCCACAAGCCATTGGCACCGGCGAAACTGCCTCCCAAGAGCAACCTGGTCAAAGCCAAAAGCAGAGGAGCGCGACACCGCCGATCACCGCCCGACCGCCGCCGCGGCGCCCGCCGGCGGGAGTGCAATATTGCCCCGCTCCCCCCACCCCTCCGCCACCCGCGCCCACGCGACCGCCGCCGCCGCGGCCGCCGCGCTCTGCAGCCCCTCGAGCACGATCGCAGCCGGCGCCGCGGCGCCGTCGAGCGCGGCGCCGCCCGCCGCCGCGCCGGCGCGGTAGGCGGCCGATGCGGCAATCCAAATGTCCTCCACCACCGCGGCCGCGGCGCCGGCGCCGCGCAGCAGCCGCAGGGCGGCGTCGCCCGCCGACTTGGCGGCCCGCTGCTGCCAGGGCGGCAGGCGGAGGTTGGGGCAGAGGGCTGCGGGAAGGCTGAACACCACAGCCATGTGGGTGACGACGGGGTCGCCTGGGGAGGGGTGGTTGCAGAGGCAGAGGGGTGGTGTGAGTGAGGGCTGGCTCAAATAAATGGCAGCCTCTTGACGCCGAGCGCAGTCTGCAGAATGCGGGCAGCAGACGGCCTGGGGGGGGCGCTGGCACAGCGGAAGCAGGCCGGGCTGGCCGGCCCTTTGCTTGCTGTTTGGAGGGGCTGCTTGCAAGGTATCAAGCCCTGCGCAGATGGCAAGCGCCAGCCCCAACACCCGTGCAAGCAGAGCTCTCAGTGCCCAAGCCTCACGCTCAGACCTTTGATACAACTTCAAATATCTGATTGCGAAGCGCCAAGCTCGCACGCACCCGCGTCGTTTTTCCCGAGGGACAGCGACACCGCCGTCGGCACGCGCCCGTCCTGCACAGACGGCAGCCCGGCCGCGGCCGCGGCTACGATCCACGGCGGCAGCGCGCGGCCGAGCGCCTGCGCCGCGTCTTCCAGGAAGCTGCGCACCAGCTGCTCACCCACCACCAGCGCCTGCGGGGACCACATGCGCCGGTTGTTGGGGTCTGCGGGTGCACCTTGCACAATGTGTCGTCTTGAGCAGTGCTCCAAAGGGGTATATGACAAGCCCGCGCAGCCGACAATAGGGGGGACCTGAGGGATTTTTCCGGTTTGCGGCTGCGCCGACACCAGCCGTCACTGGTCACGAGCAGCTCCGCCGCACGCGTCGGCCGGTTGGCCGGCTCGTCGGCTGGCCAGTGGCAGCGGCCTTGCATGAGGCGGCCTGGCTGGAGCAGTTTGGCTATGCCGTGTGTGGCATCATACGGGGGACGGCAGTGATGATAAGCATTTAGGGGCCGTCCCACCTTGTCCCCTGACACCACCACATCAAACACTTCAATAGAGACGACGCCTGGGGGGGGGGGGGCGCAAGGGGGGGGGCCCCCGTGCATGACGTGTGACGATGGATGCGAGGGGGAGGGCACTGACTGGAGTGACATGTTGCACGCCACGAAAGAAAGGTGCAAGGGAAATCATGATAAGGCCTATAGCCTTGGGAGCACGCGCAGCTGGGCGGGACAAAATCAACGTGTGCCTGGGCGCCGCTGTCAGGCAGCGGCCCCCGGGGTTGACGCAAGCGCCAGCCACTAAAACTGCAAGCGCCGCATCCCCTGCATTTGGAGTTCGACGGACGGCTGTCGCACCTGCCAGTAGCGCCCGGTATGTGGCGAGCGCGGCTGCGACCTGCTCCGCACCGTGGGCCCGGATGCCGACCGGAAAGGAAGCTTCCACGCGGGGGTGAAGCTTCAGGGGGATGCTGGAGCCTGGGGGGTTGGCCGGCCGGCATGTGGGCGACGTGGCGAGCTCAGCCTTGGCTCCGCGGCTCGGCCCCCAGCCGTGCGGGGCAGTACGGCAGTGTTTGTTAATTAGCAGCCTCAAGCTTTCGCAAAGCCGTCACGCTGCGCAGCATGAAACAGCAACAGATCCTCGGAATGCAGCGCCGTGAGCGCCAGGACCGGCGGTGACGCCCGCCACACGCGCACCTTTTACTGCAGGCAAACAGCCGTGCACGGTGCTGTCTGCCAATTGTTGCCGCTCTATTACAAACATCGAGCTGAGAAACTCGTGCACCTCATCCTTCGTCACGCTCATGCTGACCGGCTCGCCCAGCCAACCCTAGATCAATCGAATCGCCTCGTCAGAGGTTCTAGACCGTTGAGCGCTCGACCGAGAAGCGGCTAATCTCGTAAGCGCATATGACGGCCGCTATATGCAGCGTTGTGCGGCGCGCGTCGGGTGACGGGCAATCCAGTCATGACCGGTCACAACGCGCGCAGCAAAGCTCCACCCACCCCAGCCATCAACACACCAAAACTGGGGGCTGGACGCCACCCAGCCGCCCCGTCAACCCCTCAGCAGCTCTGCAAAATGGGTTCCGAGGTGCCCGCCGAGGAGGGCCGCAGCGAGGGCGCCCCCGAGGGAATGCCGGGCCTGCTTACGTCGCCCCTCGCCGCCGCCGCCGTCGCTGCGGCCGCGGCCGCCGACTCGGCGGCGGCGGCCGCCAACACCCTGATTGACACCGCCGGCGCGGCGGCGGACGCGGCGGCGGACGCCGCGGCCGCGGCGGTGTCGCTGGTGGCGGCCGCGCCCGAGCCGAGGGCGCCCTTTGGGGAGGACGAGCTCAGGTGATGTGTGGGTTGGAGGAGTCACGCGGGGCGGGCGCCCCCGCCGTCACCAATCGCACCCTGTTTCCTGCTGACCCCGCACACGCTGCTTGCTGAGCGGCTTTGGGGCTGTTGTCACTTGGGAGGCGCCTGCCACGGCCCCCTCTCCGATGACGGTGCCTGGCGCGTGCGCGTGGGCGCTCGCCTGAAACGCGCCGCCTCGGCCCTAGCGCTGGGCCCGGCCCGACGCCCAGCAAAGCTTCTTTTGGGGGCAAGACGCGCCCTGATGGCGCAGAGGCGGCGAATCAACCAACTTCCATACCTGTTTCCCGGGTTCGGAATGATAACCATAGTTATGGTCCTTGTCATTGTCAACAGGCTAATCATCTATGAGCTGATTCACGGGGACTCTAGGTGGGTGCTGCGCCACGCCCTCTCGGGCACTCGCTTGCCTGGTCAGGCATGCCTGTTTGTCACCAGCCCATATGGCATGACATTCTTTTCGAGCCAGCACCGGGCGTGAACCAGGCCATCCTGTGTTGCCCAAACATTTGTGCGCGGGCTGCTCCTCGCTGTCGGCCGGCCTCTGAACGCCGGCCGTGGGCGCACGTTGCGGCTTGGCGTGCGCTACCTAATCCAGCGCAGCCGGCTGGCGGGACGCACACAAAGATAGGCGCGCGGCTCACCACCGCCAACACCTGCAGTACTAGGCCCGCACGGGGCCAGGGCTGCTGGCTCTGGCAGCCAACCACCCACCCCCTGCGTTGCCGAGCCGCTCACTTCCCCTTGCACGTCCACTCCAGACTGCAGCAGCAGGTGCTGAGGGACAATTACTCACCCTCAGCCCTCTTCAGCTTCGGCACAGCCAGCAGCGTATTCCGCGCGGGCGCCGCCGCGTCGGCCTCGTTGTCGCGGCGCCCCAGCGGCGGTGGCGGCTCCCCGCTGCCGAGCGGCGGTTGTGGGGATGAGGGCCAAGAGGAGGAGGCTGATGCAGAGGTGGCGGCAGTAGGGGCGTCACCGCTTCTGGTGCAGGTGCCCTGGCCGTACCGAAAACTTTTGAGTGCTTTTGTGACCTCTCAGAAGGCGCGCACAAGCCGTCTACCTGTCTGGCGCCTGCAATCCCCTGCCGTTGGATCAGAATGCGCAGCAGCGCACTATTAAAGATCCGGCAGCGCATGCTTGTAGTGCGAAGTCTGTACGGCAGCTGCAGAGCACGATTCCATCCCGAAATCATCACCCCCAAAAACCCGCAGGTGCGCGGCATTGAGGCCGTGGCGGGGTTGCTGCGGGGTGCGCAGCTGCTGGCCCACACGTCACCGCAGATCAAAAGCGTCGTCATCCAACCGGAACGGTGAGTGCGCGGCGGTCGTGAGTTGTGTTATAGTGCGGCTGGGCGCGCCAGCCATTTGTTGTGCCAAGGCCAGTCTGTCACTCCCACACGCAAGCCAAGAGCGCCCACCGCCAAAGCCGCCGGACCGCCCTGCAGGGGGCCTGTGTCTGACAGGGTGGCACAAGATCACCTGTGGCGCGCTCCAGCCCGCGCGATTACTGGAGCTGAAGCCGCAACGATGTGCCTTCCATGATCGCCCAAAATCGCCCGCGCGCATCTCGGTCGGTCTCCACTCCTTGCGCATGTGCACCCAGGGCGCTCATGCTGGTGGTCTTCAACATTCGGTGGCACCTGCTGCCCCTCACGTGGTGCGCGGCACTGCTCCATCGATGCCGCCCACACATTTTCACTGGCCTTTCACTCACGCCTGGTCGGCTGGTGCAGCAGCAGGAGCAGCGGCAGCGGCAGCGGCGGCAGCAACAGCAGCAGCAACAGCAGCAGCTGCCTTTGAATGCACTCCAGGTGCATGCTCACGCATGCTCACAAGCATGCGCGCATACAAGAACCCACAAAACAGTCACCCGGGTTACTTGTGCCGCGCCTGGACCATGCAGCTTGTGCGTTTGTGATGGTTGCAAGGTCGATGTTTGGCGCCCTGCACAGGTGGCGCCCCGTGCGCGCAGACGCGCTGATACTGCTGCGGTTCGGCGACGACGGCAAAATCACGTCGCATGACGTCATCGCCAGCTGGGCGGCCTTCCTTTGGGCCCCGCTTTGGCAGGTGGGCCGGCCGCGGGTGAAGTGGCAGGCTGCGGCCAACGGGGCATGTGCAACCCTCGAAATGGGTCCCTCCAGTTGTGTTTTGGTTTGGCGTCGCAGCGCCCTGGCCAGCTGTGTGGTCGTTTCAGCTGGACATCTCAGCAATGCTGTGGTGCCTCAACCCTGTCCTTGCGCAGAACCCCTACATGGATTGGCTTCTGAGGCTGTGGGAGCCAATAAGCGGTGCTGCCCTGGTGCTGCTGGTCACCTGGGTGACGCTGCTAGTGCATGCAACCCACAAGGCGCTCGAGCGGCAGCGGCGACAGGCGGGCGGGGCGGGAACGCCGGCAGTCGGTGCAGCCGCGGAGGGCGGGCGCGAGGCGAGGCGGGGCGAGGCCGCCGGCACGCATGCGGCCGCGGGCGGCAGGCTAGCCCACAGGCGGTCTGTTGGGACGGGCGCGGCAGTGTCGGTGACCGCATGAGCACGCGCGATGCCATGGGGTAATGCGTGATCCCCGCCCACTCTCACCGCCCCTTGGCACACCCTGGCCTGGAAAGGCGGGGTGGTCGAGGCCACGAGGCCGCTGTATCAAGAGCATACTGTCACCACCGTTTGTTTTCGCTGCACCTGAGTTGGCTTGCAGGCCGTGCGGCGCGGGAAGTCGGGGCGCACATAGTGGACAGTGGGTCTGCACGGCCAGCAGCAGCTTCAGATGGCAGCACCGGGTGACACGGCACACGGGGACCTCAGCCGCGGCCACGCTCGCGGGGCGAGTTTCCAAGATTATTATGAGCAATATAACGGCCCTCAAAGGCAGCGAACGCCGAAGACGAGCTAGGAGGTGGTGGCAGGTTGAAGTCGTCGCGGACTTCATGCTGCCGCTGGAGAGTACGATAATAGTAACAGGTTGAATGTTATGCGACTGAAATTACGACCGGTGAGTAGAAGCGGGCGCATCATGGGCCCAACCTCTGCCCAGCACCGTTGCTTGTGTTACGTCTCACATCGCAGCTAATCACTTGGCTAAATTCAACGTCTATTTAATCAGTGTAACCGGTCTCCGGCCCTTGGCGGCACGCTCGGCGCGTTGCACTGTTGGGCTGGCAAGTAGGGTGTGCCGTGCGTCCAATCCGTCAATCTTGGGTGATCCTGTATGACATGCACCCTGTTTGATTGCAGGCCACGACTAGCGGTCGCGAGCGCAACGCAGCCGACGCGCACGCGGCGCGGTGCACAGCAGCTAGAGCTTGGCGAACAGACGCTGCCGGCGCTGCAGCGCCCCGGCTACACCAGGGTGCTGTGGCGGCCGCGGCGCGGCAGACGCGCACCCGTCCACGCTTTGATTCTGCTTGTAGCCGCCCGCCCAGCAGCGGCGCCAGCGCCATTCACGAAACCCGGCGTCCTTGGGTGCGGCGTAACTAGGCCAGCAACGGCACCGGCGCCGCCGTGCGCCCCCGGCCGCCTGCGCGCGCAGCGCCGCAGCCCTGGATTCCAACGGCGGCTTCCACAGCCACCACGCGGCCGCGCACGCGCACCCGGCGCAGACGCTGCACCAGCTGCACCACGAGAGCCGCCTGCCGCGCCAGAGCAGCGGCGCCGTCGACTCCGACTTGCCGTCGGTCGCTAAGAGCCAGGCGTCCCTGCCCAACACGATACACGCGCGGGCCCAGCCGGCCAAGCGCACCGCGGCCGGCTCCAGCGGCGGCGGCGCGGCCGCCAACGGGCCAGTGCTGCCGCTCGTGGCCAGCGCGGCCGCGTCCGGCCTGCCCGGCGCCGCGCGCTGCGGCGCCGGCTTCCGCTCGGCCGCGGGGCAGCGCAGCGGCGGCGGCACGCCCCATGACGGGCGCGGGAAGGGGCGGCTGATCCCTCTCATGGCGCAGCTGGCGCCGTGGGTGGCTGTCGCCATCATCGGCCTCATCCTCGTGGCCGCGGCCGCGCCGGGCGGCGCCGACAGCGGCGCCGCGGCGGCGGCGGCGGCGCGGCCGACGCCTTACGACGTGCAGCTGTTCCTCGGGCCCTATTTCTTCAACCCCAGCATTGTGAAGCACCAGGGTGTGTACCTAGCCACAGCTCGGACCGCCCACATGAAGCGGATAGAGAAGACTAATTGGTGGGCTGGCGGGGTGCTGCAGGGGCAGGGGGAGAAGGTGGAATTGGATATGGGAGAGCAAGATGGGTGGCGGGTTGAGGTGGCCGCGCGGGGCGCGCGTGTGCCTGCGGAAGGTGGCCCTGCGAAAGGCACCCCTTGTCGGAACGAGTGACGCCGGTAGGAGCACGAGCGGCGCGCGAGCAGCGGCTGAGTGGCGGCCGTCGCAGGCGCAGGCGCTGCGCCCTCGCCCCTTTCCTCTCCCTCTTGCGTCTCAGGCTCATCCAAACCGCCCCTTCTTGCAACAAGCCTTTGTGGGGCCCTCCTGCCCCGCCCCGCATGTGTTTATGTTTCTCTTTAATCATTTCCTACAACCCCAGGTGGTTCAATGACGGCTACATATGCATGTCCACGTCACCCGACTTCAGCAGTGTCTCCTGCCGCAAGTTTGACCCCTGGCAAGGGTGAGGCGCCGCTGCTAGCTCGCCCTGGCGCGCATGCTGATTGCAGTTGCAGCCCAACGGCGGCAGCTTCGGGCTCTCGGCGGCCGCCCCAGGACGGCGCGGCGGCTGGGGCAGGTGGTCGCTGCATGGACGCACAGAGCTCAGGCGGCCAGGGCGCCTTGCGGTATGGGCTGGGCAGGCCACGTGGGCGCAGCCCCATTGCGTTGCAGAACCTTGCGTGGCGTGGCCCCTGCAGTCAACCGCTGGTGCAGCAGCTGTGCAGCGTTCTGACAAGTTGACACCTCAAACCCATCCTGCGGCAGGCGCTTCCAGGAGTGCCTCTGGGGCAGCGAGCGAAAGGCGGCTGACGTGGACACGCAGGTGTGGGATTGCAGGGTGCAGGGGGCGGGGTCATGACCGGCAGGGGCCTCCAGAGTGCCAATGCCAGCAGCCGGCGGCCATCACTTGCCGGGGCTGCGGCAGGGTGGGGTGCTGCTGCAACATGGAAGCGCGGGTGACGTCGTCCCTCGGCACGCCCGACCGGTCTACGGTTTGGTCCGCGCAGAGCACACCTTGAGTGCCCCTTTAAGCCTGCCTGCTAACCTCCTTGCCAAAGTACCACCATGCAAATGCTCGTTGCGGCGGCCTCACACCGAACAACTTACCCCCCCCTTCCCTCCAAAAAAAAAGGGCATAGAGGACCCCAAGCTGTTTGTGTGGCCGGGCAAGGGGGTGTACGCGGTCTTTGGCCGCAAGCCGGAGGCGCTGGGGGCGTCGCCCTACTGCAGGGACCCCATTTTCGTCCAGTTCATAGTGCAGGTGAGAGGGAGAGTGTGTGTGTGTGTTGGTGTGCGCATGTGTGTGTGTTTGTGTGTGCGTGTTTGTGTACGCGTGCATGTGCGTGTGTGTGCGCATGTGTGAATGCATTTGTGGCCAGGTTCCAGGCCAATGCACCTTGATGGTCCCGGAGTCTGGGGCGACTGAGGGCGGCAGTTGGGGCAGGACATCCATCGCCCACCCTCCCCTGGCACACGGCGTGGCGATGTGCCCAGTGGCAGAGCCCTCCCCGCTGAAAACGATGCGCTTCACTGGAACAATAACGCGTGCATTGCACCCCAGGTGGTGGCAGAGGACACTCGGGACGAGTGGTCGATCCACCGGCCGCGGGAGCTGAAGCTCGGGGAGTTTGGCCCTGCCATCTACCGGGAGCAGTCTGCGGCCAGCCACGGCGCCCCCCTGAAGGAGAAGAACTGGATGCCGTTCGTGCACGAGGGGCAGCTGTACATGGCGCACGGCGTCATGCCGCACAGGGTGATCAGGTGGGGGGGGGGTTTGGGTGTGGCGCGACGGGCGGGGCGAGACATGGATTTTGGGGGGCGCGGGGTGATATGTATGCGTAATGCTGCACAGGGCTGTCATGTGGGTTCGGGGATGCGTTTGACTAGGGTGACGGAACGGACCGAGTGAGATGCCCATGGTTCAGGCGGAGGGGCGCGCGTGATGTGTACGCGCCATGCCGAATACGGTGGGCGGTCGTTGCTGGCCCCGCCCCTGCGCGCGCCTACGTGCGGGCGCTCCTGCCACACCACACACGCACCTCGTCCACGCCTGCCCTCCCCAGCCCTCAACTCACAACCAGCCCCGGCACCCTCCCCCCTTCCCTTCGGTCCCTCCGAAACCGACGACCCTTGCCCCGAGCAGGATGAACTCCACCGGCGTCGCGGCGCAGCACTTCCTCACCGCCAACGACGCGCTCTTCTCGCAGTACGCCGGGCAGGACGTGCACGGCGGCCCCCCCGTGGTGCGAATCGGCCGTGGCGCGGCCGGGGGCGGCGCGGCGGCGGAGGCGGCGGCGGCGTGGGAGGGGGAGCCCTATTACCTGGGGATCTTCCACTTCTTCATGGTGGGTTGGGGAGGAGGTTGGCGGCCCTCGGGCAGGCGAGGCCGGTGCGGTGGCGCCACCAAATGCAGGGTGACGGGTGGGGGGGCATGACGCTGCTGCGGGCCAAGCCGCGCCGCTTGGGGGCCGTGCTGCGGGGTGCAGTCACGGGTGGGGGAAAAGGTCACTGGTGCTGAGGGCCCGTCACGCAGCGGGCCCCGCTTCTTCTCCTGGGACGCTTCCAAAGAGCCCCCTCTCGTCAAACCCTTGGGCTCGCGTCACACCGACAAAACCAAGCCCCCACACGCGTACCTGGACGCACCCACCCACACCACGTGTCAACTACTCACTCGGACACGTGGACCTGGTCGATTTCTGCTTCTCGAGTTCGTTCTGACGTGCTCACATGCCGCCGCTCGCAACCCAACACAACCGCACCGCAGTCAGAACAACTCCCCAACCCCCCATGCCCACAAAACACCTCCCTCCAGACGTCTGGTGAGGGCATCCACAAGGTGAAGGCGTACCACCACTACGCCTACAAGATGGAGGCCCGCCCCCCCTTCAGGATCTGCAGCGTCAGCGAGGAGCTGGCCCTGGTGACGCGCAAGAAGGAGGCCAAGAAGCCGGGGTGGGTTGGGGGG